GCGGTGTTTACCCTGGCGAGCCGCGTTCCAAAGGTTGCTGATCCCTGCCCTAAATTTAGATGTAACTAGTTTCTAAAATCTTTTGCATTATATTTTATCTGTACATGATAAACACTCAAGAGTATCACACAGGGATTGCCACCTTTTAAACCTATGTTGGGTTTTTCTGTTCTCTCTTTGGGCTGCACTGGGAAACAAAGTGAAAATGTCATGTTCTCCTTTGTCCCAGATGTGTTTGCCCAGTTTTGATATTTGGTTTTCTTTCTCATCACCCTTCTGTTATGAAAGATGGATACCTGCTGGGAAAGCTTTTGTTTTTGGTGATACTACAGAGTAGCATGGAGAAGCATGCATTAAAGTGTACTTTAATACTTTCTCAGTTGGCTGCAGTATGCCATTTGCCCTCCAAAGTACTGATGTTACTATTGTTGCTAGCCTTTGGAGTTCCTCCTGCCTTACATTCCTCAGGGGGAGGGCTAGCTCAGTGGTTTGAGCGTTGGCCTGCTAAACCCAGGGTTGTGAGTTCAATCCTTGAGGGGGCCACTTAGGGATCTAGGGCAAAAAATCAGTACTTGGTCCTGCTAGTGAAGGCAGCGGGCTGGACTTGATGACCTTTTGGGGTCCCTTCCAGTTCTAGGAGATAGGTATATCTCCATATATTATTATTATTATATTATTTGTGTTTGTTCTCACTAAATGAAAGATTTAATAAATGTAAAGGTGGTACTTCCATAGTTAAAATGTGGTGAAACTTTCTGAAACTTACATGCAAGTAATTTACATCCTTACATACAAGGAACATCAAGTGTCACTAGTAATAACTTTCAAGGTGCCATGCTATTGTTTTGACTATCTGTAATTAATACTGATGCATTCTGCTGAATTTGCCATGGAGTCTACCCTTTGCTGCAGAGTATTGCGTCAGATCTAAGCCTTCATTTTGCAGGGGGAAAAGTTATTTTAGATCTTAGGATTGCAAAGAGCCTTAAAATATAAACCACGCATGAACCAATGCAATAATACCTGCCTGGATCTGCAGATCACTTGCAAATTATCTCAGAGATATGAAATGCCCTGTTTAGCTCAATGGGTGTTAACGCTGAAACCTAAGGATGGCAACTTTGAATGTCAGCATACTAAACTGATGATAATTTTATAGCCGAAATATCTAGCTAATGTGCTTGTTCCAGTCTGACATTGTTCCTGGGTGTCAAAAACCTCAAGAGTCTACTTTTCAGCTTCTCCCTGACAGCTTCTATGGTGTAGTTATTCATTGTCAGTACACTGAAAATTGAAAATATGGGGCAGAACAAAGATATTTCAATATAAAAAACACAGGGAATACTACATCATTTGTTTTCATAGTGAGATAAGAACCTCCTTATTTAAAGCTTTCCTGAAATGCCCCAGAAACAAGAAGGGCTTTCTCCAGAGTTTGGGTCCAGCTTCCTGAAAAGTACACTGGGCTGTGGCAATCCATCTTACAATAAAGAAGACTTCCAAATGGAGTCTCTAGTAAATATACACCAATGAGAATTGCAAAGTCACCAATGAGAGTCATATTGTTAAAGAATAGCATTGAATACCTGTGGGTAAATAAACAGATATTCATTTTCTTCCGAGAAGATGCCAAAAATATATCATCCTATAGAACAGTGATATAACTTCATAGTGTTCTGTTTTTTCCCCTACTTTGTACAATCAGCTGTGAACATCTAATTATAAGAATCTGGAATTATTTTTGTTTAATGTAAATTTCAAATGCAGAAAAACAAAACGCTTAGGGGGAAAAAAAAGAAATATTTTAGAGTTGGAAACAGTGACTCTCCTAAAGGCAGAAAAGAAAAAAAATTGAAGGAAAAGTAATAGAAAAGCTGCCATTTAAAAACCATGCAGTCGCTAATAAATATTCTTGAGACACAAGATAGGTCAGGTAATATCTTTTATTGGAGCATCTTCTCTTGAGAGAGTCCAAGTTTTGAGACAGAGCTCTTCTTCAGGTCTGGGAAATGTCACACAGAAAAATTATAAAAGACAAAAAAACCCTATCATTTCTGGGTGAACACTTTTCACAAAGCAATTATAGTTCTCTATATCTGACTTCTCAGTCATCATCCTCAAAGGAAAACTGCACAGCGTCTTCAAAAGACAAGCCTAAGAGCTTAAGTTCATAACTTTGCTAGACCCTAAAAATCATGGATGGAATAGAGACACTGGAATTATGGCTTTTTACAGTGGTCTATAACCCATTAAACCCACCCCTCTCTGCTTCTTTTCTTGTGTGCCTCCCCCCCCCGCCCCCCGTGACTGGAGAGGTATTATCTGGCTACTTCACCTGAAACGGTCCCTCTAAATATGTTTACTTATGCTAAACAATTTTTTCACCTTGTATTTAGTTGTGACGCTCTGAGTACATTTCCCAGACCTGAAGAAGAACTCTGTGTAAGCTTGAAAGCTTGTCTCTCTCTCCAAGAGAAGTTGGGCCAATAAAATGGTCTTTATCCTGGGACCAACAAAGCCATGACAACATAGCATATTCTTGTAAACTTGCATCCTTCCTCACCACAGCAGATGAAATAAGGGATAGTTAAGTATGATATAATTAAAAGGAACATTTTAAGACAACATAAATTGGGAGTGGTGAATGCGCCTCTTCAATGTTGCCTGGAAGGCGGGTGCACTACCTTTGGACTGGCAGACTGGGGTGGTGGTCCCGATCTTTAAGGAAGGATACCAGAGGGTGTGTTCCAACTATAGGGGGATCACACTCCTCAGCGTCCTCAGCAAAGCCTATGCCAGGGTGCTTGAGGGGAGGTTACGCTCGTTAGTTGTATCTCGGATTCAGGAGGAACAATGTGGATTCTGTCCTGGCCTTGGAACAACTGACCAGCTCTTTGCTCTCTTGCAGATACTCAAGGGATCGTGGGAGTTTGCTAATCCAGTCTACCTTTGTTTTGTAGACCTGGAGAAGTCCTATGACTGCATTCCCTTAGATGTCTTGTGGGAAGTGCTGCTGGGAGTATAAGGTGCCGGTGCTGCTTTTGCATGCTATCCGGTCCCTCTGCTCTCAGAGTGGGAGTTGTGTTTGTATTCTTGGCATTAAGTTGAGTTCGTTCAAGGTGAGTGATGGACTCCACCAAAGTTGCATCTTGTCCCCACTCCTGTTCGTAATTTTCATGCACAGAATATCAGGGCGCAGCCGAGCTGTGGAGTGCATCCGGTACGGGGACTCGGAGGTAGCATCTCTGCTCTTTGCAGATGAAGATGTCCTTCTTGCTTCTTCAGACTGTGATCTCCGAATGTTTTGCAGCTGAGTGTGAAGTGGCTGGGATGAGAATCAGCACCTCCAAATAAGAGGTCATGGTCCTCTCCTAGAAGAAAGTGGACTGCTCTCTCTAGGTGCGGCGGGGGCTGCTACATTTAGTGGAAGAGTTTAAATATCTAGGGGTCTTGTTCACGAGTGATGGCAAGTTGGGAGCATGAGATCAACTGGCGGATTGGTGCGGTGGTGGCAGTGATGCGGGCGCTGTGCTGATCCATGGTGGTGAAGCGGGAGCTGAGTTCTTGGACAAAGCTCTCAGTTTACAGGTCGCTGAAAGAACGAGATCGCGGGTACAAGCGCAGAAATGAAGTTTCTCCGCAGGGTGACTGGGCTTACTCTCTGAGACAGGGTGAGGAGCTCGGCTATTTGGGAGGGCCTTGGAGTAGAGCCACTCCTCCTCTGGATCAAGATGAGCTAGTTGAGGTGGTTTGGGCACCTGTTAAGGATGCCCCCTGGGAGGCTTCCATTGGAACTTTTCCAGAAACGTTGCATTGGGTGGAGGCCTTGAGGCCGACCCAGAACGTGCTGGAGGGATTATATCTCTTGGCTGGCCTGGGAATGGTGGGGAATCCCCCAGGAGGAGCTGGAACATGTTGCGGAGGAAAAATAGGTTGGGTCTTCCCTATTCTCCATGCTGCTGCCGCGACCTTTGCTGGGAAAAATGGCCTAAAGGAAGAAGAAGAAGAAGATGATAAATTGGGGGAAGTTTCAGATACATGGAGCAACAAAAATAGTGACTCTCCAGCTGTGGATGGTGTGGGGAGGGAGAAGGAAACAACAGAGAAGAGGCCCTCACTAAAGAGAAACTGAGCTTGGTGGAACATCTCCATAGAGATGTTTGAAATCCAGAAGACCATTTTGATTTAACTTTGGAGGTGGATTACAATGCCATTTATGGTTGAGGATAGGGGTGCTATAACTCTATTCTCCAAAGCTAAAGAGTAGTCAGTGACTTCATTTTAGACCTCATGCGAGAAAGTGGGAATTTATTGATATTAGGCCATAAAAAGGGAATGTCAGTAATCGAAGTGGGGACACAAGAAAATTTTACTCTCAACTTGATGTCAGTTTCATTTGTCTGGATGTAATAAGATAACTTTGATGCTGCATCCGATCAGTTCCAAAATTTCAGGGAATGTTCCAGCTGTGTTTAAAGCATACAGAAAGAGTGCATCAAAGATTGGGTAAGATGGATTCTAGTATTGTTGTAGCATCATATGGAGGAAATGTGAGTAAGCATTTTATAGTCATTATAACATAGGAGTAGGTCTCTCATGTTCAAATATGGGCATCCATGTTGCTAATAATTACACATAGAATTTACTTTATGCAGATGAGTAGTCTCACTGATTACTCATGTTCATAAAGTCATTTGTGTCTAAATGTTTGAAGGACTAGGGACTTTGGCTGGAAAAGTCACCTCATGAACTTAAGTATGTCACTTGGGTAGAGAATTTCAGAGACAGAAAGGGGAGACAGTTGCCTAACACCCATTCAAAATGGGAACCTAACTCACTTTTATTACTTTTATTGAAGATCTTCTTCCTTGCTGTTCAATGTGCCTGTCAACACAATTCTCTAGAAATCAGATGTTGTCTCTGAGGAGTTGTTCTATGTAAATAAAGTACTAAAATAAAATACAAGTATAAGTAACCCTATATTTTCTATTGTGTTTTAGGGTGCCACATTTGGACATTCAGTTGGATTAGCCCTGGCTCCCCAACGTTCGTCTGTTCGGAGATCATTTGGAAGATCTAAGCGATTTAGCATTACTCGTTCACTGGATGATCTTGAGGTAATTAAGCTTACATAAAACATTATATTAAACTTTTAAATGATTCCTGGAGAGTAATATTTTAGTAATTTTGCCAATGATACAGGATCTGTGGAAGCAACAAATACAGTGCCGAGAGCTGCCTGACTACTATGGAACAGATGCTCAATCAGCAAGGGGAGCTAGAGGGAGAGGAGGTTGAAGGAGGCTTCATTCCTTCCTCTCTTCTAGTGCTGTCTCCCCAATGGCTGCTTTATGGGGGGGGGGGCGGGGAAGGAGAGAAAGATGGGACACCAACTAATCTACCTATCTCTTCCAATTTGGAAGTAAGAAAGGTACTTCAGAAGTGGGAGCAAAAAGACTGAGAGCCCTTGGCATGGGGGGAGGAAGGAATGGGAAGGAACACAAAGCCCCTGGCATGAAGGGAAGAATGGGGGATCCTGGTTTGGATGGGTGGGGGAAAAAGGAGTAATTTGAGCACATGAAGTCCCAGGCATAGGTGGGCAATTGCAGGCAGGCAAATGGAGTCTTGAGCGTGGGGGTGAGAAAAAGGGAGAATCAGAAAATGGAGGGATGCAATGGTGTGTTGATGCAATGAGTGCTCAGTCTACAGAAGCAATGAACTGTGCGACCCTATAGTCCAATTATTCATTACTTTATTTCTCTCTTCCCAAATATCTGTTTATTTCTCAAATATTTTGAAGCAAGAAAAAAGCAAATATTCTTTATTGAGAACAATATCTATATTCCTCTCTGAAGTTTTAAAATAATGTGATTTTTTTTTTTAAACCATATACTCAGAAGTTTAAAATGGTAGGCTGTCCTTTAAACATCAAAGCAAAATAATCTGAGTGGAGACCTAGTGTGAGAAATATTAGCCCGGGCAGTAATTTGAAAAACGTCATAAGTGAACGGAAAAAAAAGTGTTTGGAATGGAAGTGTCTAGTTCTAAATATAGTAGTATTACTGCAGCACTATAATTCAGTATTATAATCACCAAACAACCATTATGTCTACTAAAGTAGAACAGAATACAGTCTTCAGTACTGATGAGCAGGATAAGTTGTATTCCATGTAGTTTCTTGTACATGGGTATTTTGAATGTAGCTCAGTCATTCACAAAGGGCAGAATATAGTCCATTATCTCTTACAAATCAGAGACAAATTCTGTCCAAGCATTATGTATAGTAATTGCTAGCAATATCTTAGCAGTCAGGTCTTCACAAAAAGACACCTAGAAATTTGATTTTCATGGGATAACAAGAAAGGGGGCTGGTTGTGTCTGCCTGTACAAGAGTGGGTCCTCAAAATAGCCAAAGACTTGTGGCAGACCTCCTCCTCCATCCCTCCCACTTTGAAACGGGCTGAGAAAAAAGTACTTTGTGCTGGCCAAAGGTTTTGAATACCTTTATACCCATCCGCCCCGGGCTCGTTGGTTGTGTCTGTGGCCAACGAGAAAGACAAGCGGGTCCCCACCTCCTTGACTCCCAAAAACAAAGAGTCCAAAAAATTCGGTTTATTTGGGAGAAAATTTTATTCAACCACCAGCCTGCAATTTTGGGTGGCGAACCATCAAGCGGTACAATTTTAATCTCTGGGATGGCCTTAAAAATTTTCAGGAATCCCTCCCTCAAGGTCTGGCCCAAGAGTTTGGCACCCTGGTGGAGGAGGGTACTGCGGCGGCCAGATGTTCCCTGGAGATGGCATGGGATGTGGCGGACTCAGCAGCAAGGGTGGTCGCATCGGTGGTGGTCATGCGATGCAGCTCCTGGGTCCAAACAGCGGGCCTCTTCCAGGAGATGCAGGCCTCGATCCAGGACTTCCCCTTTGATGGAGTTGGTCTGTTCTCGGATCAAACAAATGCCAGGCTGCACGGGTTGAAGGACACTAGGGCTACCCCTTTGCTCGTTGGGCATACACACACCACAATCAGCCAGGAATTTTTTCCAGCCACCACCGCTGTCAGGGATCTACAATGAGAAGGGATGCTAGTTTTAATTGTCATCGCCCTTCTTCCTCCCACTCACCGCCTTTCCCCTTACCGCTTGGCCTGGTTGTGGGTTATGTCAGACTGTTGGGTCTTGGACATGGTAGCTCGGGGCTATACCCTACAGTTCTTGGCTGCCCCTTCTTCCCGCCCCCCCATTTTCCTGTCTGTCTTCAGGGACCCTTCTCACGAGCAACTCCTTGTTCAGGAGGTCGAGAAGCTCCTGGGTTTGGGGGCTGTGGAGGAAGTTCCTCGGGACATGGGGAAGTGGATTCTACTTCCGCTACTCGAAGCTCGAAGGCCAAAGGGGGCCTCAGATCCATCCCGCGTGGCCTCAACAAGTCTCTCAAGAAGTTGAAGTTCCACATGGTCTCCCTGGCCTCCATTGTTCCTTCCCTGGATCCGGAGGACTGATACACCGCCTTCAACTTAAAGGACGCTTACTTTTCTGTCTCCATATTTCCGCATCACAGGCATTTCCTGCATTTCATAGTGGCTGGGCGCCACTTCCAGTTCACAGTGCTACTCTTTGGCCTGTCCTCGGCCCCGAGAGTGTTCACGAAATGCATGGCGCCGTTAGTGGCTTACCTGAGACGTTGAGATCTTCCCATATCTTGACGACTGGCTCATCAAGGGCAGGTCTCCGGAGCAGGTGCAATGGAGCCTCGATCTGGTGTGGTTCATCTGCAACAATCTGGGCCTGTTAATAAACACAGAGAAGTCCACGTTAACGCCAGTCCAATGCATAGAGTTTATTGGAGCGGTTCTCGACTCCATGCGAGCCACGGTCTTCCGTCCAGAAGCGCGCTTTCAGGCCATGTCGGGCTTGATCGCCCACATAAAGAGCCATCCTCTCACTACAGCCCACATGTGCCTACAGCTAATGGGCCACATGGCCGTGTGCACGTACGTGGTCAGCCATGCCCGACTTCATCTACAGCCTGTGCAGGCGTGGCTGGCTTTGGTCTATATCCCCAGCAGACACACACCGGACCACGTCCTCCTGTCCTTGGACTGGTGGCTGGATCCCAAGTCGGTGCTGCAGGGAGTTCCCTTTGTGACCCTGTCTCCATCGCTCACCCTGGTCTCGGAGGCGTTGGACCTGGGCTGGGGAGCCCATCTGGGCGAGCACAGTACCCAGGGCCTCTGGCTACACAGCGATCTGGCCTTCATATCAACGTCAGGGAGCTCAGAGTGGTTCGCCTGGCATGCCAGGTGTTCTTGCCCCACCTGAAGGGCAGGGTGGTGCAGATCCTGACAGACAATACGGCCGCAATGTATTACATCAACAGGCAGGATGGTGCCAGATCTTTGGCCCTTTGTCAGGAGGCGCTCAGCCTCTGAGACTTTTATGTGTGGCATGCCATTCATCTGGTGGTCTCCCACCTGCCTGGAACCAGGAACGTCCTAGTGGATCGCCTCAGCAAGACCTTGTCTCGCCACGAATGGTCGCTTCATCCGGAGGTGGGTCAGCCTAATCGTCTATGGGTGGGGGACTTCCCAGTGGACCTGTTTGCATCCAGGCGGAACAGAAAGTACCACGTGTTCTGTTCTCTGCAGGGCATGGACAAGGGCTTCCTGTTGGCCTTCCTGATTCCGTGGTCAGGAGCGCTGATGTACGCCTTCCCGCCGGTACTGTTAATCCACAAGGTATTGCTGAAGGTGAAGCAAGACACAGCATCTGTTATCCTCATAGCCCCAGCGTGGCCTTGTCAACACTAATTTGGCATGCTGCTGAGTCTTTCGGCAGCCACCCTGTTGCAGCTACCTCTTTGGCCGGATCCGGTCTCCCAGAACCACTGCAACCTGCTGCACCTGAACCTGGCGTTGCTGCACTTGACTGCTTGGCTGCTGTGTGGTTGAGTATGGATGAATGGGAGTGCTCTGCTGGTGTCCAACAGGTCCTGCTGGGCAGCAGCAAACTGTCCACCAGGGCTACATATATGGCAAAGTGGAAGCAGTTCATGTGTTGGGCCTCGGACCGACACATTCATGCAGAAGAGACCCTGCTGCAGGACATCCTGGACTATTTACTGCACCTTAAGCTCCAGGGTCTGTCACCATCTTTGATCAAGGTGCACCTAGAGGCCATTTTGGTGTTCAAGCCTCCGTTTCAAGGCCGGTTGGTCTTTGCCCATCCCATGATGGCGTTGTTCCTGAAAGGTCTGGAGCACCTTTACCCTCGTGTCTGGGACCTGAATCTTGTGTTGTTGAGGCTCATGGATCCCCCCTTCGAACCCTTGGCTTCCTGCTCCTCCTTCTCTCCTAGAAGGTTTTCTTCTTGGTTGCTATAACTTCGGTCCGTAGGATGTCTGAGATCAGGGTGCTCAAGCCGGAGCCACCTTTACAGTCTTCTGTAAGGACAAGGTCCAGCTGCATCCGCATCCGGCTTTTTTGCCCAAGGTCGTCTCCCAGTTCCACACTGGTCAAGACATTTACCTACCGGTTCTTTGTCCAAAGCCTCATGCGATGGAGGAAGAACGCAGGCTGCATACCCAAGACATCAGACTGGCACCGGCCTTCTATGTTGTTAAAACAAAGCCATTCCGTAAGTCAACTCAATTTTTCGTTGCTGTCTTTGACAGGATGAAAGGTTGCCCAGTGTCAGCCCAGAGAATCTTGGATTGGATCACAGCCTGCATCTGCTACTGCTATGAGCTGGCAAAGGTGCCCCCGCCGGTGATCGTAACGGCTCATTCAACTACGGCACAGCCGTCATTGGCAGCCTTCCTGGCACAGATGCTGATCCAAGAGATCTGTCGGGACGCCACCTGGTCATCCATCCACACATTCGCGTCGCACTACATGCTGACCCAGCAGGCTCGAGACGATGCTGGCTTTGGCAGAGCAGTGTTGCAAGCTGCAAGACTGTGAACTGCAAGCCCACCCCTGTTGCTTCTGCTTGTGAGTCACTTAGAATGGAATCAACATGAGCAAGCACTCAAAGAAGAAAAAACGGTTACTTACAGTTACAAAAGGTTGTTCTTCGAGATGTTTTGCTCATGTCCATTCCATTGCCTGCCCTCCTGCCCCT